GTCAAACATGGGCTCATTATGTATCAAGGGGAAATAAAAATTTCAATTATATTTTAAAAAAATATGCCAAGGTGAGCGGCTTGCCCTGGACAGTCGATCTTGGAAATTTTCAAATGGAGTTGGCTAATATTCCCAATAACACACAATAACAAGTTGACAAAATATTCCTCCATTTGTTGTCATTGAGGCATACAGCTCTCATGCCAAATTGACAATGACAACGACAAGCTTAAGGGTCTCCAAAAAAAATTATTACATATAGTTCAAAAAAAATTAAAAATGAAATAATTTTTTTTTTTTTTGATTAAAAAAATGAAATAAAGTTGAAATGCAATCAATCAAGTCTATTGTCCAATTGGCAAATATAATAATATTTAATTGAAATATAAATGACAGGTTAGTTCAATATTTATACGTAAAAGTATTTAAAGATTAATTATGTAGATATTTTAGTAACTCAAATTAAAGTAGAAGAGTTTATATATATATATATATATATATATATAGTTTTCATCTTATAAGCAATGAATTTTTTTTTTAAGAATAATGTCAAATGTCCGACGTTGGGAAAGTCGAGTTGAAAATGTTTAAACAATAAGATTTTAAGTGCTACAAATAAAAATCGTTTTAATACACTTGGTAGAAACATGTGATGACCTCAAGACATTTAGAGATACCAAAGTTTATCATTTGACATTATGAATTTTGAGTTATCGTTTGGCATTGTTATTTGGTATATAATATATATCAATTATTAAGAAAGTAAGCAAAATGTTGTAAAATGGGGACATCTTTATTGATGCGGCTATTAGTCATTTGAAAGCATTTATTTTTACTTTTTAAAAGATATCGAGAAATTGAATTTGAATCTGACAAAATAAATGCTGAAGAAATTGTTGTTCAAATAAAAGTTGAATATATATTTTATGAAAAATGTATTATTTATAGAAAAAATTATTTCAATGAAAATATCAATAATGAGATAACACGTTCAACTGAAGAAGCTTTTAGAGTTGGTTATTTCTTATATATGTCAATCAGACTCTTTCTTCGTAAAAGTTTGAACAATTTCAAAAAAATATGAAAATATTTTTGAATTTATGTTTGATTCTAACAAAATTAAAGACTGCAGGTGATAATTCTTTGAAATGTTGGTACGAAAGTTGTCGATTATTATTTTTATAATTTTGAATATTTTTATTTAATAGATTTTCTAATATCGGTTGACTGTGTAATCTTAGGTCCACCATCGGTCTCGTAATCAACAGTTTGATGCGTTTATCATAGGAAATCACGTAAACCCATTCGTTCTTTCATTTTTAATTAATTATTACTCATAGCCTTCATTGGTAATCTCAATTAGGTTCGTCGTCAGTGGCAAAACAATGAGAGATGAACCTCGCGGACAAGACAAAAACTAGGATAAAACGACACGCTGTCCTCGGCCGGCAAGACGCGGCATCCCGACACAAGTTGACTTTCCCTCCAATTTCTTGCAATAACCAATACAAATGTACAACAGAAATTGTGTATCCAACCCCAGAGAGTACACATTCTTTCCGAACTCATTTTTTATCACATATTTTTTAATAAAATAATATTTTTCATAATATCAATCACTTTTCCTTACTTTTTAACCACATATTTCTCAACATATCACTATTTAATTGCAATATTATTCGTGGGTTTTTTGCTTATTCAAAAATACGATGGATAAATAAATTTTTTTATTCACTCTTAACAAAATCTTTGAACAAAAATTGTCATCGGTGACAAGATGTACTAATTAGTGAAAGATTTAAGATAAGTTCTTGATTGGTAGGAATTAAAATCTAGATTTTAATTTAAGTCAAAACCAAAGTCAACAATTAATTTTACTCACATATTTTATGGAATTCACAACTCTGCAATCATATATTTTATTAATTTTTATCAAAATTTATTATAAAAATCTGATTTTAAATCCAGACGAAACATAGGATAAGAATGTGATGTAAAAAACAATGAATATGTTTGATAGACTGTAAATTATGATTTTTTATGCAATTAAAATGTAATGGTTACAAGAAAATGTGGTATGACCATTTGGCCAAATTGATATTATCACAAGAGCATGTAGAAATCCATTTTCTTTATCAAGAAGTAAAAATGGAGAACATGGGTACATAAACCAACTCCAGGCAAGCAATTGGACCTTTCCTTCCACGAACTCCCCACAACATGACATTATTTGGACCTTCTAGGCTAAGCTTCTTCTCCATCTCTCTATAGTCTACCCTCTCCCACCCTACTCCACCTTACCCCAACCCCCAACCCACAGAACAAAAACATTCCTACTGGGGATTGGCCATTTTCCACGGGTCCCAGTTCTTGTAAAATGAGAAGGAAAAAGTTGTACTCAAGCTCATTCACATTGTTCATCTTTAATATCGTTCTCGTCCAATTGAGCTACCCTGAGTTGGGTTCCGTCCGGTTTGTGAAGTGCCAAGCTGGTGATTTTACTCCACCCCAACTGCAGAATCTCTCATATAATGACTACCTTACAAGCAAAGTTTACTACGGACTCTCCAATCTCACCTCCATTGTTCTCACCAGTGAAATCGTCAAAGATTCCAGCTTTTGCATTAATGATCCGTCAGTTAATTTCCCTTTTTATTTCAATATTCATTCTTCAGAAATGCAGGAAAATAAATGGAAAAGGAGTGGAAAAAAAGTCTTTCAATTATTTTTAATGTCTATGCTTTTTGGTGCAGGAAATCTGAATGGAATACAGCATTCGATTATTCTCCCAACTTGACTTTCTTGCATGCTTGCTTGGACAAAAATAAAGGTACATGAATTCCGTTGCTGTTTTTTAGTTTTCAAGATTAGGGATAAAAAGGGTATGTAAGTTGATAAACATGTTTAGGCTTCTATGTTTTATTTTATTTTTTTCTATTTAAATTCACGTTTGGAAATTCATCTAGTTGAATCAAGCCAGCAACTTCCCCAGCAAGGTCTCTAGCTTGCAGCAGCTTGAATTATTTCTCTTTATAGCCAGTGTTGGCTAACCAGTCCACCACTTTATTCCCCTTTCTCCAAAGACGTCCACCCTCTCCCACAATTATTGAAGCTCCATCGGGTTGTACTGTTTTTCCAAGGTCTTGGTAGTATTTTTACTTATGAGTTGTATAGACTAAGAATCTACCTCAACTCAAAACGAACATATTCCATGTTGGACACATAAACTTAACCCAGTTAGTAGAGCTCTGATTTCTGCCTCTAAGCTTGAGCATGATCCATAGAACTCATAAAATGTCAGGACAATATCCCCTTCACTGTTCCTGATTATCATCACCTTTGTAGTATCCATCAGTGTTCAACTTCACAATCCCATATCTGGTTTCTTCCGATAAACCACTATTCCTTGTTAGCTATTTTTTATTTGGATTATTTCCCTCCCAGGAAATAGGCCTGCATCCCCAAATAATTTCATGTATTCCAGTACTCTTTTGATAACCCTTTCAGCTTTCATTTTGACGCTGGAGTGTTTGGAAATGTTTCTCTCAATCTATAAGAACCAGACAATAAGAAGAGGGATGATAGATTGTTCACAGCCTGGTTTACAACCTCTGCCAGTAAACCTCGAAAATTGTAAGAGCATCATGGTCTTAGTGAAGAAAAGGGGGGCAGAAATGATGCCTGGTATTGTAGAATGCCCAAACTTCTTTGGCAATGGATCCATTTATTAAAATGTGTTCCAGTTATTCAATATCCCTGCAACATCGACATTGGAATGCTAGACGTACTCTCATTCTATGCTGTACCACTTCATCAGTAGGAAGCCAATTTTGCCATATTTCCATATAAGAAAAGATACTTTAACGGGCAGTGCTTTGTTCCAAATAAACTGATAGGAACCTTGAATGCTAGCTTTCTGTCTCACAATTCCAACCAGAGGTGGTGGAAAAGGGGCAACTTTTTTTAGTGTCCAAAAACTTTTATCATTATCAGTGGAGTAGGGAGGGATCTTGACAACTTGAATACCTTTGGTTGGCTGCAGCTCGTGAAGTTTTTCCAAGTGCCACGTAGACCCAATTTTAAGGTCGTGTAATGGCCATGCCCTAGCCAATTATCATACCAGCCCCTAACCTCCAAGTTATGTTCAGTTTTGCATCATCTCTCACTGCTAGAAGTGTTCTCCAGTTGTAAGAATCATAGGGTCATAGATGTTATTATGAGCTTGTTTGGTGCACATTAAAATAAGATAATGTATTTTTTTGAAATGATGTGAAGGAGAATATGTGGTTGAAAATGAAGGAAAAGTTATTGATGTGATGGAAAATATTATTTTATTGAAAAATGTGTGGTAGAAAATAAGTAGAAGAATGAGAATGAAAAATATAATGTGGGTCAAACAGGGGCTGTGCCTTTTTGTCTAGGAGAGCAGTCTTGGGAAGTTGTGAAGGAGCTCTTGCTAATGAGTTGACGAGATGCAGCTTCATACTTAATCAAGAATGTCATTAGTTTGGTGAGAGATGTTTTTGTCGATTGGTGAAAACGATACTACCATCGGTAAAGTTTATATGTTACACCCATATGGAAGGGGATTGATTATTTGCAACTTTGTCCTCAAGGTATTGGTAAAAAACAAGAATAAAACAATACATGATGTTGCCATGCAATTAAAATCAGATTAAAACACGATGTTTGGTAGATAGTATAGGATAGTTTTGTATGGTACAATAGACAATATTTTAGCTCATTCATCTTTAAATATAATTTTATCCGGTGAGATCTGATCAGAATATTGAACATGGAAGAAAGGTCATGATTAACTTATGTTCCACCATATGAGCCCATCTTTTATGGGATTTCAAAATGGTCCAAAATGTCTTGTAAAGACCCAACAAAAGTGAATTCTATTTAAATTTCTAAGTCCAAACCAAGTGAAGTCATATAAACAAGAATTAGATTTCTAGAGCTTATTATTTTCAAAATAAAATTTTCTCTCTTATTTTCAACTACACATTTTCAATAAAATAATATTACACTCAAACCCAAAAATTTTCCTTATTTTTTAACCACGCATTCTTCATCAATCTACTATTTCAAAATGCATTATTAGCGAAAAAATGGGGCCCAAACAGGGCCTAATTTCATGAAATTTTCTTGGTTCCAAACACACTGATCTTTCTTAGGTTTTGTGTCGGATATAAAGTGGTGGACAGCAAAATTTTTTGTTGGTGCAAACCTACCCTAAATGATCTGTAGTTACCCCTGTACCAAGAAACTTGTTGAATTAAAATGAACCTTCTAGGCTGTTAGATATAACACATCGATTATTGTTGGATATGCTGAATAAACTTCATACACTTAGTATTATCGGTTAAGTTTTTTCGACAACGAACATGCACCATTAGTATCTGTATGGTGGGACAATTCAACCAAGATAGTGTAGGCATCACTACACGGAATAATTCCTCTGCAACTGCATTATGATTGGAAAATTATCTTTACTGTGCATATTGGTACATGTTTGGTAGTCTCTTTCAGCTGTTATTTCTAGCTCTTCCATCTCACAAAGTTCTATCTTGTTGAACTGCAGATATTGCAAAACGATTTTGTACAATTGCAGAGATAAAATTTTACATTAGTAACTTGATGCATGGCGGGAGTCACCTGAAGCCTAACAGGAACTGCAACTTAAGTTCTTGGCTTTCTGGCTGTGAGCCAGGATGGGCATGTAGCACTGACTCTGAAGATCCAGCTGACCTAAAAAATTCACATGAAATACCTGGCAGAGGATCTGATTGCCAATCTTGTTGTGAGGGATTCTTCTGCCCTCGTGGTATTACTTGCATGCTACGTAAGTATTTGAGAATCTTTCTAATTTTATTAATTTAATTATTTCATCATTTCACTGAACTTGGACTTTTCTCTTGAAATGCATGTCTCTTTCTGGTTGGGTTCTTTCCGTTTTCAAAATAATATCTTTTTGACACTTGAAATTTTTAGTTCGGATTTTTCTTATAAAAATGGAAGGCATGGTGCAGATCAATATTGGCCAAGTTCACCAAACGGCAGTCTAGCTAACAAGGTCTAGAGATTTCCTCCAAAAGTTGATCTAGCTATCCCTGTATTCACGCCAACAATCTCAAAATAAGTTTGTAGCCCTGTAACCTAGGCATTTATTTTAAAAGATACTAGAATTTCCTTATCAACCGTAAAGTAAACACATCCTTCATAGATCCTTAACTGAAATGGTCTCTTACCCTATTATTTTATGATTCAATAAAGAGCCCTGCTTTGGATAGGGAGGTGGTGTGTATCACTGTGTTTTGTGTTTTACTGTTGATTACTGTTAGTATTGGTAGGGTTTGCAGGCTGATTGTACAGAATCCTAAAATAGGAAACTATTAATTAGGTCGATACGTTAATTGGTCTTTATATAGGTTTCCTTTTATATGTAGATACATTTAATTTGAACAAAATCCTAAAACAGGAAACTATTAATCGGGAGAACAATTAGATAACAATTAGACAACATATATGAGAGGTTTTCTATGTAAATAAGCGTGTAAAGTTTATTTAATGAGAAGAATGCTCACGGTGTGAGAGAATTTTGTTGGAAATATTTGAATGAAAATCAATGCTGAAAATCAGTTTCAATGGGAAACAGTTTCATCAGTTCATTGGTTTCATCATGCAATGAATAAGGAGTTACAACATTGAGGTGATCGGCACTTCTGGGAAATTTTTCATCTTGGGTTCTAGTTTTTCTGTGACCTATTGGAAGTTATCTTGATTCACGATCTGGTGTCTGGTTTTCTGCTCACATTGTAGGTGACTTGTTTGTGGCATGAGGATTGTTCTTTGAGTCTCTGTTTCTCTTGAGACGTATGCTGTTATCATGTTTTATAAATCTGAATATACTCTTGTTCGCTTTATTGGAAAGAATTATTGTGTTTGGGAGTTTTAGTTTTAGTGGTTTGTTAAGGGAAGTAATTAATGAGGCATCTGGATGGGAATAATCCAGCTCTGGAAGAAAATACAGCCTTGACTCGATGGGAGTCAAGGATGCCCGAGTTATGACTTGGATACTCAGTTCGGTTGAGCCGAACATTATTCTTAATTTGAGATCCTATAGAACTGCCAAGGGTATGTGGGATTACCTGAAAAAGATCTATAATCCGGATAACACAACAAGGAGATTTCAGTTGGAAAATGATACGGCTAATTTAACACAGTGAAGTCTCTCCATTTGTAAGTATTCTTCTGGTTTCCAAAACCCGTAGGTTGACCTATTTACTCCAAAGTTCCTGCTGCAGCTCTCTCGGCTGTTCAAGCCATGCGTGAAACCAGCAAAAGAGATCAGTTTTTAATGAAGTTGAGATCAGATTTTGAAGCCACCCGCTCAAATATGATGAATCATAACCAAGTACCATCTTTGGATGAACGTTTAACTGAACTTCTTCGAGAGGAACAACGTATACTCACTCAGGCTATCATGGAATATCAGGCTAACGTTAGTGGACCTGCTAATGTTGCCTATGCGACCCAATGGAGGAATAAGAAACGAGACATGAGTTTTGTTTAGTGCTACAATTGTAAAGAGTTTGGTCATATTGCGCCTCATTGCTCAAGAAAATTTTGTAACTATTGCAAACAGAATGACCACATCATTAGCCATACGACTAATAATGTTCCAACTAATTAAACCTTGGTATTTTGACTCTAGAGCTTTTAACCATATGACTAATAATGTTGTCCAGCTTTCTAATGTTCAAAGCTATTCTAGAAACCAGAAAATTCACATACCTAGTGGTAGCTCTCTGCCTATCATGACTGTTGGTGATTATTCTTCTTCCTTAGCCAATGTTTTTGTTTCTGGTCTCTCTACAAACCATATTTCTATCGGTCAATTAATTGACAATGATTGCACTGTCAAATTTACCCTTACAGGTTGTGTTGTGTGGAATCAAGTGTCTAAAAAGATGATTGCAAAGGGGCCTAAAGTAGGGTTGTCAATGGATTTGATTTTGATCTGAATTCAATGAAATTAATAGGAGATGGATTCAGGATCTCAGTCCAATAACTCAATTAAGATCCGAATTCAATAATCCATTAACTATATGGAACAAATATGGATATAGGTCAATCCGATCCGATTTGTTATAAATAATTGAGTCGGTAAAATATTTTTATGGTATATTCTTTGTGACTAAAATAAATAAAAGAGAAAATAAATAAATTTATAATAAAAAAGTCATCAAATTCAAAACATAAAAAAATTGAAAATTTTATAATTATTAAACCCATTTAAGAATTGGAAAAATTGGGGGAAAAAAAAGTTTGATTCCAACATTATTTTTTCCCTAATTTCTTTAATTTCAGATCAAATTATCGGATCGGATATCCGATAACATAGCAAAACGGATATGGATTTAATAATCAAATATCTGTTGGATTATCGGATCAGATCGGATGATTATTCTTATCGGATTGGATCNGTTGGATTATCGGATCGGATCAAATGATTATTCTTATCGGATTGGATCGAATTTAGACAGATCTGATCCATATCCGATTCATTTACAGCCATAACCTAAAGTGGGCGTCTCTTTCCTCTACACATAACTCGTTAGTCATTCATGGATCAACTTTGTTTTCTGTTGCTTGCAATGTTGTTCAAGATAATTAGTCATTATATAGATTTCTTTTCTATGTAGACACATTAATTTGTACAGAATCCTAAGATAGGATAGCAATTATACAACATAGAATGAGAGGTTTCCTTTTGTAAATAAGCGTGTAAAATTTATTTAATGAGAAGAAGGCTCACGGCGTGAGATAGTTTTTCTAAAAGCTCTCTTGTTTTGACAATTACACAAGTGATCTATTCTTATATCAACTTTTGATGTTTTCTTTGCCTATGCAGCAAATCATTATCTACCTAATTTTTTTGTACGTTCTAATGTGCATAGTGCATCGAATTTTTACCAGTGATTTTCAATTACAATTGACATTCGCTAATAGTTTCTTTGAATTTTGAAGCCTGTCCACTAGGTTCTCACTGCCCACTTGCTACCCTCAATAAGACTACAGGAATGTGTGCACCGTACGTTCAGATCCTGTTCTTGTGCTCCTTTTCTCGTTATGCTTTCCTATCCTACGATGTGTAACACAATTGTTTATAAGACTTTGCAGATATACTTACCAACTTCCTCCGGCGAATCCGAATCATACTTGTGGTGGTGCAGATATTTGGACAGATTTTCACACTAACAGCTACATATTCTGTTCTGCCGGATCCTATTGTCCAACGACTACACATAGATTTCCTTGCAGCAGTGGGTATTGATTTGTGTCCTAAAACTTATTTTAATTGTCTATCACTTCTAGACTATTTACCTGTGATAATTTGAACATTACTATGACTATAAGTTCCTATCCGATCACTCTACATACAAACAACTCTTTGATGTTGTTTTCTGTTTTTAGTGATCATGCTCATTTCCAAAATTTTCAGGAATTACTGTCCCACGGGTTCAACAGATGAGAAACGTAAGTTCTGAAGACATGCGAGTTAAAACATTATATCTATTTTATTTTTCTCAATAACTTGCCATTCCCTGCATGTGAAAAAAATATCCCGGTCTATATGATTAACAACTGGATACTGCTTAACTCATAAAACTTTACAGTTTACACTCTGCTATGTAATTCGAATGCTAAATTTGCAGGATGCTTCAAGTTGACTACTTGCAATTCCAACACCGCAAATCAAAATATTCACGCATACGGAGTTATGCTTATTGTAAGTTGAAACTTACATTGTCATTAATTCAATCACTTGGAAGCATTTCTTTTGGGTTTGATATTTTTCTCTTCAACTTCTCTCTCTCACGCCCCCCTTTCCCTCCCTCTTCCATTTTGGTCTCTGCTCTTTTTTGGTTTCGTTTTTCCACACTGCTTCAAGGTTTCTATAGATCTTTTCCAGGTTCATATTTGATATCAACATTTACTATTTTTTATTGCAGGCAGCATTAAGTACTCTTCTGCTCATTATTTATAACTGTTCTGACCAAATTATTACCACTCGGGAAAGAAGATATGCCAAATCTAGGGAAGCAGCAGCTAGAACAGTAAGGAAGAAGACACAAGCACGTGCAAGGTGGAAAGCTGCAAAAGATGTTGCTAAGAAGCATGCTGTTGAGTTACAGGCACAATTTTCTGGCAAATTTTCTAAGAAGACTCCTTCGAATTCTGACCAAGTTAAGATTTTGAATCAAACCGAAACTGAAACAGATGACTTACGTGCATGTATGTCACCCGCCACTTCATTTACTGAATCAGGAGGAAAGAAATTAGAACACGCGCATCATACGCACGTGATATATGAAATGGAAGATGACTCTTGTAGTTTTGAAGTTTATGGTTTAGAGTCTCGAAATAAAAATATAGAGAAGACAATTCCAAAAGAAAAGCAAATTCATACTCATAGTCAGATTTTCGAGTTTGCATACTCACAACTCGAGAAAGAGAAAGCTCAGCAGCGGCAGAATAAGAACCTTAACTTCTCAGGAGTAATTTCAATGGCTATGAACAACGACACCAAGAAAAGGCCTCTAATTGAGATTGCTTTTAGAGACTTAACTGTTACATTAAAAGGCAAAAATAAAAATCTTTTGAGGTCTGTAACTGGGAAGATAAGGCCTGGCCATATTACTGCTGTCATGGGTCCATCAGGAGCTGGAAAAACAACTTTTCTTTCTGCTTTGGCTGGGAAAGCAGTTGGATGCATGGTGACAGGCATGGTTCTTGTAAATGGGAAGTCAGTATCCATCCATTCATACAGAAAAATTGTCGGTTTTGTGCCGCAGGATGATATTGTGCATGGAAATTTAACCTTGGAGGAGAATTTATGGTTTAGTGCAAGGTGCAGGTATGTGGTTTTTATTTCTGCATGGGTTCTAGTTGCCATTTTTATACTCAATATGCATTATTTGTTGTGTGTTTTGGCATTTTCTTCCCAACAATCTTGCTAACTAGTGAACCTCTGGTGATGGGGAATGAAGATAAGAATACAAATAGGATTTAGATAAGATTTAAATTAGAATTTTGATTTAAATTACGTTTCTATTGATTAGATTAGTTTATTATAGTTTTCAAGTTTGACTACAATTAGGTTATTGTTTCCTTAGACTCCATATAAAGAGGGGTCTATTCAGTATAATACTTAGACTTTGATAATGAAATAAACAAATACTTTGGCCAATTTCTTCTATATTCTCTCCCCAGTCTCTGAATTTGGTACCACAGCTAGTCGCTTTCTTCTTATCAAACAATTTTTGTTCAATTTTGATAGGTGTTCAAATTCAGGAGTTTATTTCAATCATTACCACATCCCTACCCATCATCACCTCACCCTTCCCTTAAACTTAACCATCCGATAACAAAAACCAATCAAAAAATCATACCAAAAGGACATCAACAGCTTACAAGTACAAAATCAAGCGGTATATCGAAATTTGTTGGAAATAGTTACCCTAATTCAGAGAGCTATTGCATAGTTGGGATATTTATAAAACTACCCATGTTACAAGGAAAATTCGTACCCATAGTGAGATTATATTCTTAGGGAGGATTTGTAGATTCAGTTGTCTTCATATGGTCGGTTTCGTGATTTGGTCAAGGAGAAAGATTGCTGACCTTGGCTAGGAAGTTACAGTCTATCTCGACGGAGTTGAGTTTTCTTAATGGGGAAGAAATGATGAGGATAAAGATAAGGATACGTATATAATTTAGATAGAATTTTAAAATAGAAGTTGACTTAATTATGTTTGTTTTATTTGGTAATTTATTATAGTATTCTAGGTTGACTAGAATTTTATTGTTGTTCCCTTATCAATTAGGTTGCTTAGATTCTATATAAGTAATATTTGTGACTTTTTGTATAATATTTTGCCCCTCAATTTATTCTCTCTCCTTTCTTCTTTGTCTATCGCGTTCTTTGTTCATTGCGTTCTACGTCATTTGGTTGGGATATTTCCTTGATTCTGTGTGAATCCTTGTATTCTGTAGTTATGTCCCACGTCATTCCTAAATCTTGGTCATCGTAATTCAGGGCAGTTCAGACCCTTCTTGATAACTCAAAACAGAATTTCAAGTAACTAGTTATTATTTAATGGATGCCGTTGTCATTTTCCGATTGACAAGGGTGACGAGGTCAATTGAATGTTATTCTATCATGGCATCATCATATATATATATATATATAATGGCCCGATCATATTCTTCACTTCATGTATTGCACATTATCATCATTTTCTGTCCTTGATCTCTGCACTACTTTAACCTTTTTATGCAGGATGAAATCATTCAGTATAGAATTTCGTATTAACTGCATTTATATTTTCAAAATGTGAAGACTATCTGCAGATTTACCAAAGGCAGACAAGGTTCTTATTGTTGAACGAATCATAGACTCCTTGGGGTTGCAAGCAGTGCGGGGTTCCTTAGTTGGCACAGTGGAGAAACGAGGAATCTCTGGAGGTCAAAGGAAACGAGTAAATGTTGGCCTGGAGTTGGTTATGGAACCTTCGGTACTGTTCTTAGACGAACCTACATCTGGGTTGGACAGCTCATCTTCACAGCTACTTCTCAGAGCACTTCGGCGAGAAGCGCTCGAGGGGGTAAACGTCTGTATGGTTGTCCATCAACCAAGGTAATAATATTAAGGGAATATTTCATCATTGGTTCCCAACCTATTAATATAGTTGTAATACCAGTTCTCAACGATGGAAATGGAAAATTCGATTAAATTGTCAAATGTTTTTAATACGACCAACTTCTTGAAGGGCAAAACTGCGAAAGCATTTACCCTTCATAAAGTTGATCCTGTGAGGCCTATTTGATGGTTCAAAGGTATATTTGGACGATTTCTGTTGTTTGAGACTGGTTGTGCAACTATATTGAAAGGTTAGTGACCATCGGTACTGCATTTTTCCCTAATAACAAACAGGAATTAATTTTATAGAGCTTAATCAAAGCAAGATGACCTTGTCCTGTTTGGAGGTTTATTGTTTTACCCACTCGACCAAGATCCACTTAAAATCTTAGCACAGGGACCTAACAAATTGTTTTGCAAAAACAAATAGCATATACGAGATGCAAGTTGCTTATATTCTTTGGGTAACTTACTGTTCAATTTATCTTTCGCAGCTACCCATTGTTCCAGATGTTTGATGATTTGGTACTTCTAGCAAAAGGAGGCCTTACTGTCTATCACGGGCCAGTGAGAAAAGTTGAAGAATATTTCGCAGGTCTTGGTGTCAATGTCCCAGAACGTGTTAATCCTCCAGATTACTTTATTGACATTTTAGAGGGGATGATTAAAACAAGTTCAAGCTCGGGCGTGAGTTATAGGGAACTTCCTGTTAGATGGATGCTTCATAACGGTTATCCTATACCCCAGGATATGAGGAAGAATACTGCTGAACTTGCAATATCCCCAGTGAATATAAATCTAGAAAATGACATACACTTTCCTGGTTCTGTTACTGAGGACCAATCCTTTGCCGGGGAGGTATGGCAAGATATGAAATGCAATGTCGAGAGGAAGAGAGATATGTTACGACACAACTTTTTGAGATCAACTGACTTGTCCAACAGGAGAACTCCGAGCACTCTCCTACAATATAAGTACTTCCTTGGGAGGTACATAATAAAAGTTCTCTTTCCATATAATTTGCTTCCTTCAACGCTGACAATTATCATGATTTTTCTCAATTACCCCGAGTCATTTTATCTAGCCAAAACAGGAGGTGGTTTAATTACATTTGTGTGCAGTCATCTACCTCCTAGCTTGTGGTTTCAAATGTGAGGATTGCCAATTTGTGCGACAATGGCATACTAGTTCTTAATTGTCCTTGCTTGGTGTGGAGTGAGCACTGCATAAGGGACATGTCTGTCATACAATGAGAAATTTGTGGCACTGCTAATCATGGGATTCTTAACTTTGTTGCTAGAAATAGCTTTAATAATTTTTAATGGTTCCATGTAATTTGAATCTTTGGTACTCAAGTAGTAGGAAATAGGAAATTTATGCGTAATGCAGGAAAATTATCTCATCTTTTTTGTACCATTTTGGTGGGATGGCCGAGTGGTAAGGTTGCGGATTGCAAATCCTTTTTCTCCAGTTCCTGGATTATGAGTTCCATTGTTGAACTCGGACTTAACCATTAAGTATGAAGCAAAATCCGATCCAATTTATTTATTTGAATAGTTAACAGGTTGGTTAAACTGCATTTTCAGCCCAAGTACACTGCATTCTCAACCCAAATACTCTCTTCGAGTTCAGGAAACATCTCTCAGTGATCTTTTATCAATTATTTTATCATTCCCTTCCTGATTTTCTCTAGGCTTATGACAATCTCAGGGTGGCTAAACAACGGTTACGAGAAGCTAGAGTTCAAGCGATAGATTATCTTATTCTTTTACTTGCTGGGGCAAGCTTGGGATCACTTACAAAAGCGAGTGATGCAACTCTTGGTTATGGTGCTTACACTTATACAATTATTGCTGTTTGTAAGTTCATAAAACTCTCAGATTCCTTATATAAGAAATTCCTGTTTGGGTTAAATTATCCGTATGATTCGAAACTAGAAGAATGTTGCATGCTGACTTAAATAGCTCACTAAGACATGACTTATTTTTTCCCACCTTTCTTTCTCCCACTCACTCACTCACTCACACACGTGTTTCTTGTTTTAATTTTGTTTCATATCTCTTTCTCCAATTTCAGCTCTGTTGTGCAAGATTGCAGCTTTAAGGTCATTTTCTCTCGACAAGTTACAATATTGGAGAGAGAGTGCTTCTGGCATTAGCAGTCTGGCTCATTTTGTTGCCAAAGACACAATGGACCACTTTAATACAGTGATAAAACCCGTGGTGTATCTTTCAATGTTTTATTTCTTCAGCAACCCAAGATCTTCCTTTGCAGATAATTATATCGTCTTGCTCTGTCTTGTTTATTGTGTAACTGGTGTAGCTTATGTGTTGGCCATCTTTCTTGATCCCGGTCCATCCCAGCTGGTAATTAGTTCTCCTTCCCATAGCTACTATCAGTTTGAGCTCCTGTAAGTATGATGTTTTTCACCGGCTACTTTGGCTTTGTGCAGTGCTCTGTACTACTTCCCGTGGTTTTGACTCTCATTGCGACTCAGAGTACTGCAACGAAATATGTGAAGATATTAGGGAACTTGTGCTATCCGAAATGGGCCTTAGAAGCATTTGTTATTGCAAATGCAGAGAAGTAAGTTCGAAACCCCATTTTCCATGAGCAGCTCTTGCACACGCATTCAGCAATCTTTTAGGAGGTTCTTGTGATTCATATTAGTGTTATCGCATTATAAATATAGAAACATCTACAAGGTGTTAAAAGATTGTTAGCCGCCAAAATTATAGTGTCTTTCCACTTTGATCATGGAACTTTCTTTTTTGTTTCACTATCGGCGCTACGTCTACCTCTATCCTTCAGAAGTAACGGAATTCTGACTTGTACGAGGGAAATGATGAAGTGGCTTAAAATACCTGTTAATGCACTAGTTTTGGTGTCAGCATTGGCAAAAACACCTTTTCTTCTACAAAACTTGTGTATTTATAAACTATATTTTTAAAAATAAGCATTTTTGGGCAATCTGAACAACAAAACCAAATGCGTTAACATACCTTAAAGCCACATCATCATTTGTCACACAAGTCAACGATTCCATTATTTTCTATGAAAGGAGTACTAAACTAAATTAAAAATGAAAGTTTAGTGATTGCATTAAAATCAAAATTTGTACTTTCTAGGAAATATCTTAAGGTTCACCAACATAACATTGAAATCAAAACCTGGGACTTAATCTATTACGATCAGTTGACCTTGAATTATCCAGGAAATAATTGCATTCAAGAGAATTAGGGAAAGCTAGGGAAGGAATTTCACTTTGTCCAAGATCACCTTCCAAACTTATCCGAAGTTTTATCCATTTATTTGCATGTGTTGATGTGCTTGAGAACTTCCCTTGTATGGGAAGAATAAGATTGTGTTTGATAGAGTGGATTAGATAGTGTTAGATAGTATTAATAAAGAAAAAGAAGCTCTTGCTGTTCTCACTACTGAGTACTAAAATTACTCGTCTTGTACCCTATGATTGTACCGAACTTTTCAAACTAAGATGAAGAGAGAAAAACACAACATTATCTTTCTATCTTCCAGTATAAATAACTTGAGTCGATGTCAATTTGTATTGTTGATGTTGGATAACCCGATTTACCGATTAGATAATTTGCTTCAGGTACTATGGCGTGTGGCTCATTACGCGTTGTGGTGCACTCCAGAAATACGGGTATAATGTACATGACTGGGGGCTTCGTATAGCTATGCTAATCCTTTTCGGTGTAGTTTGTCGTGTTATAGCTTTCGTCGGTATGGTAACTTTTCAAAAAAAGTGAGTTCATCATCTGTTTAACTTGTGTTCGACTTTTTGATGCACAATGTTGACAAGTTTTGACAGGTCTACAGTATGATGTACAACACTCGAGAAGTAATCATTTTTAGATTTCATGGTGAGTTTGTAACAGATGATAGTAAAAATTAGAGTTTTTTAACGTTTTTACTGAAATGTTGATATGTGGCGTGGACCGCGTGGTGGATAGGATTTAAAAAACTGAAAGAAAGTTAACTTGTCCACTATAGAGGATAGTTTGTCTTATCCAATGTTCAAAATTGTGTACCAGACATACCCTTAGTTGTCCCACTCCATCCTCTCATGTAGAGATGCATGACCTCTGAATTCTTTATGTACAAAAGCAAACTGATTTTATGTCAATTGTCGATTTTCTCGGTCTAACAACTCGGCAAGTTCAGATTAATATGTTTTGTCATCGATATTTAATAGAATGTAGTATTGAATAACATTGTTGACATCGTACTAAATAATTTAATGTTTACTTTAGTGAATAGATGTACAAGGTCACATGTCTCATAAGTTTTTCTATTCACAATTTGATGAAAACATTGAAACCAGAAATGGTATTTAAAATACTAAGTGGGAAATGGTAATGAGCTTTAAATATTCATTTATGACTTACAATTCGCAAGACATTGTTTTAAGATTATATAAATCAGCCATCCCAATTAGAATAAATCCACCCTTAGACCAATTGGACACGCTTCATCAAAATGAACTTTTCTCAAACTTTAGGTAAACTCAAGACTAATAAAGTTCCCAGATTTATGTTACTACTTCAGCCCCTGTTTGGTTTAGTTTAAAATAAGATTTTTAGTAGATTTTGATAAAAACTGACGAAAAGTATAATTAAAAAATCGATAAAAGTTGTGGATTCCATGAAATGTGTGGTTGAAAATCAATTTTAGAAAAAAACCGAATTCTAAAAAATAGGGGCACATCTTCATTTTCTAAAAATTCATTTTTTCTATAAAAAAAAAAACTCATTTTCAATCATACATTTTCCCAATAAAATAATTTTGCATGTAAATTCAAAAAAAAAAATATATATATATATATACTTTTTAATCACACTTATCTGAAAAATTACTATTACAAAATTCACTTTTTAAAAATAAATAAATAAAATTGGGCTCAAACAGAGCTATAAACTCTGAAAACTTCAAGGAAAGTTACAAAAATAGTTATAATTTTATATTGTAAATTCCACCAGTGGACCAGCACCTTTTATAAGTGCAAATATGTCTGCAAATGTACAATTTGTTACACTCATATCCCCAACCTTTAAAACTATGGCATAATGCCCCTCAAAAAACGTCAATTTCAATGTTAATAGCTACATGGCGCTCTTGCTATTTTCGAGATAGGTCGATGCAAGAGAACATGTATAATGAACATTGAGTAATTTTTGAATGAAAGTTGAAGTTCTCGTTTTGTTTGTTTTGAAATAAAGAAAAATATTTTTGGACAGTTTTATCATTTTAGTTGGACATTGTACTAGTGTCACTTGACTTCTTATCGTTCAAATAGCTTTTTCTTTATTAATTGGTTCACAATTTTAAAAGTATAGATACCAAATGAGATTTGCCACGCACACGTGAAGGGGGGCCCACGATTATTTTATTGGTCGTGGGCCCCCCTCTTGTGAGGGGAGTGCTCCGGTGTATATTTGGCATTTCTCATACCATATTTATAGAAGATTGGAGGCTCTCGAGTCTCAATACAACTATCGTTTTCTATACAAATATCATACGTATTACTTTTTTCATATAAGTTTTTACATATTGTGTCTGATTTCAAGTTGCATTTCTTGTTTTCGTTTCCATTAAACCTTGCCTAAAAACAAAACGAAGAACAACAACTTCTTTTACTTGAAATCTACTTACGAATTACCTTTATACGAACAAAACATTTTTTCCCGAATAGAAAATGGATATCGTTGCCAATTCAATGCGCATGCTAATATTTTTTTTTTACACATCCAAGTTTTCTTACCGCAGAAGAAACAGAAAATAAAATTCATCATTTGACATTTTCAATGATTAATTTGAATAATTCTTTCGTTTTTGACATTTTCGATAATTAATTTAAATCATTTGAATAATTCTTTTCTTGAAAACGTCAGAATCTTATTGAATATCATTTCGCTAAGTCGCACCTAATTGAATGAAGTCGATACTCACATCTTCATAAGAAAACACAAGTAGCATCTGCCATTATTCTCAAGCTTCACAATCTTCTACTTCTTCCCTATCCCTGAAAACACTCACAAAAACACCTCAAAAGTGAAGAATTGTGCCAAAACTTCTAGTGATTAAACCTCTTGTCAACTCGACTCATTTGGCTTCTGAATTTGCCAAACTGGGAAATAGTCAGCCTACGAGTTCTGATACTGAGTCGAGCTCGCAATGTTAATGCAGAGGCTAAAAGCACTGAAATGGTTCTTCATCCAAGTGCTGATCATATGCAGTTCATCGCAGTTTGTACAGAGCCAAGATGTTTTCGACTATGACTATAGTAACATTAACACTACACAACTTGATAACCCTGAGGTTCTCCAGCAACTCACCAAAATGGTTTATCAACGTTTGTCGGGTGTCACGACCAATCTCATCCATAGCGATGTTGCTAAACGGGCCACCTTCTGTGTTACAAACCCGTAAGCATCGTCGTCTTCTTCTTCTTCTTCATGGAATTGCTTCAAGTATAACTTGTATGTATACTTTTTTGTTGCAGGGATGATGATTGGAATAGATCTTTTAATTATTCTGAAAATTTGGATTTCTTGACTAAATGTATTGTCAAAACTAAAGGTATGAACTTGGATTTCTACATATTTTTATTATTTTTATTTATTTATTATCTTTTTTTTTTTTTTAACAAAAAGAAGATTCGAGGGGATGAATATGGATTTACATATATTCATCTCTATTAGTTGTCTTGTTGACTAGTTTAAGATCGTCCTCTATTGAGTTCCCCTTGCTTTGGGCTACGTGTTTATATAAAAAAAAAAAAAAAATTATAGTCAAATCGGAATTCTACAATTTTAAACAATTTGTTCTCAATAGCACGACATATTGCGTGAGATATTGTTGTTTAAAATCTTAGCCCTTGTTTGGTAGAAATTTTAATTTAAATCAAGATCAATAATAAATTTTAATCACACATTTCAATGATCACACAATTTTTTAACCACATATTTCATCAATTTTTATCAAAATCTACTAAAAATCTGATTTTAATCCCCTCCAAATGAGAGCTTAATATGCTAGAAATGCAATATATTTATTTTTAAAAATTTGTCATTTAGCCCCTGTTTTGCACACATTTTTTCAAAATACATTATTTCATAAGTAATTTTCATATTCTTTAATAAAATAATATTTTTCATCACATCAATAACTTTTCCTCACTTTTTAATCACATATTTCTCATCATATCATTATTTAAAATACATTTTTTTTCAATAATATCCATCAAACACATCTTTAATAATGATGAATATACAGTAAAAATTATTTTGTTGATGAGCAAGCCTGCTCATGGATCGGCTCGACCGTTGGACACCTGAGCTCGACTTAATCATTTGGTTCATGTGGACATGAGTTGAGCCCATGAGACAACAAGCGACTCAGTCCGTTAGCCACTTCTAATTTTAGGGGTCTTTGCTACTTGTACCGAGCTTTTGAAGGCTAAATCGATAGTATACCTTTCGTTATAGTACCGTCTGTGTGTGTATTATATATAAAAGAAAAAGTTATTATTTGACTTTTAAGCTGGACCAAACATCCTTTCTCCCGCCAGAAAAAAATGGCTCTTCTAAAGGTATATTATAATGAATAAAGCTTTATGTACATAACATTTGCTGCAATGTGAAGAATTTATGGCAACATGCAATTTTTTCTCCTCTAATTTTTTTTTATCAAATTCGGTTACATAATTATTCTAGATTTCTTTCAACAGGAGATTTGCCCAAACGATTGTGTACAGCAGCAGATTTGAAATTCTACTTCAGTAATTTCATTGCAAGTAGAGGCACCTCCTCCACTTACCTAATGCCCAATAGAAATTGCAACATAACTACTTGGGTTTCGGGTTGCGAGCCTGGATGGGCATGTAGTGTTGGCTTAACTCAAATGGTTGATTTTACAGACTCACTTGAAATGCCAGCTAGAACCCTTGATTGCCAGCCATGTTGTGAGGGTTTTTTTTGTCCTCAGGGTCTTACATGCATGATTCGTAAGTATGCCCTTAATCAATAGGTTGTTTTCTTGTAATGTTGTTTGATGAAAGAAATTTAGCAATTGATTGATGTCATTTGCAATGATTTTCTATGGTTTACAATTTTGATATTAAAATGTTAGTACATGGCATGCGGCAATGCTGCTTCGTATACATAGTCAGCATATTGATCATAGTTAGTAGTTCTAGTTCCTTATGAAGGTGTGACGATGGATATTGGCACTAGCTTCAATAGGGTTTCAAACCTCCGAATTCACATGCTAAGAGAGCATATCGCCATTGGGTGAAATAGGAAATAGGAAAAATGGGAAAAGGACATCTCTGTTGCACCTTTTGTCTCATAAACGCTGTATCTCAAGGGGGGGAAGAAAAGAAGAGCTTGTCCTGTTTACATGGCAATTCAGAGCAAGGATCATATAGTTTTTCTTGGGATTGCTTCCAATAGTTGTAGTTGGGACATTGTATTTCTTGGGTAGCCAACTATGGAATATTCTGATATTAAACTTAGGATGCTATGGAATACAAAACAACAAATGGCATGTTTGATGTGGTGATTTAGTGTGAGGTTTTTTAGACACAGAAGTAAGAAAAAGAAGCTAAAAAATGTTGTGCGTTGTAGTGTTCAGTTTTATCTAGTTTTATGTACCAAACATGCAATGATAGTCTAATGGAAAACACCTTGGGTTCAGTCCAAGTCACAAAAGTACCCAGCAGTATATTTTTTCACCAGTTATTTGCTTTTTTTTTTTTTCATTAAACAATTCTTTCTTTGTAAGGGCGAACATGGCCAGCTCCACCCAGAATGAGGCATGTTACATGCATGCAAGTGTACTAATTTGGTGTTATTACATCCTGTCAGTGTTATTGAAGAGTTTTGTTTTTCAAATGTTTCATTGATTTTTAATGATAACTAAACTATTGCTTATGATTTTCTGGCACTTGTGAAGCTTGCCCATTGGGTTCCTACTGCCCACTAGCAACGTTCAATGTTACCACGGGATTATGTGACCCGTAAGTTCATATTCTTACTAATTCCCTTTCTATTCCTCTCATGTAAGTAGTGCTTGTTCAAGGTTTTTATTGATTGATCACTGCAGATATCTTTATCAATTACCCCCGGGAAAACAAAATCATACCTGTGGAGGGGCAAATATCTGGGCAGATGTCAGTAGAGGTGGTGCAATGTTCTGTCCAGCAGGATCATATTGTCCAACAAATACAGAAGAAATCTCTTGCAGCAGCGGGTATTGATTTTTATCCTTACTTTTCAAAAATTGGTGGAGTACAATGTTGTTGGTTTCAACTTTGGTTTAAAGAAAGAAAGAATTCCAAACATTGAGCTTCTATCTGATCAGACTTTTAGGACTTGAGTTATACTTTCCCTCCTCTGTACCCTTTTCTCTATGTTATGTTGATATTTTAAAATAGTTGCGGCTGCTGAGATCTTAATGTCAATTTTTCCTCTTAAAAAATCTCAGGAATTACTGCCGCATGGGCTCTACATCTCAGACAAGTGAGTCTCTTATTGTAGCGTGTATAGTTTCATATTTTATGGTCTAGCACATTAAACAGTTTTCTTTGCATCTGATTAAAACTTTATTTTTTCAACCAATGAATTTGTCACTGATCAATTTTCTGCACCTCTTGCTTCAGTGATCATCTAACACAGAAAAAATAAACTTGCAGGTTGCTACAAATTGACTTCATGTGATTCCAACACGACTAGGCAGAATATCACAGCATATGGTTTAGTGCTAATTGTAAGTGTTTCCACATAAAGTGTATTACCACCATATGCATGCTTTAAGGCTGCTTTGATGTTCTTATGTTATCATGACACGTTGCATGCGATGTCCTTCTGCTCATTTATTGAACGTCGATGCTCCTTAGAAGCCAAAAAATTGGATAGGCAGACAATGAAAACAAGCTACACATTTTTATTTACCATACTTAGGATTGCGATGTGAACTAGCAAGAAGAGGCCAAGGGGAATTCCAGATTCTCATGTGAAATCAAATTTTTTCTCACTTGTTCTCCACCATATTTGAAAAACTTCTAAGTTCCTATTACTGAGATTTGCTAAATGGAATACTCTCTCTTTTCCCGGCCCTGTCCTGAGTTGGAATTATATGTTAATGTGATTCATCATATCTGCCATCAATAAATGTTAAAACTATACAATAGGAGGTCTAGTGCAATATGTTCATGTGTGGCTTTTATACTCTTATTTCTAACATTCTTGTCGTCGACAACAATAAGTTTGGTAGAAAATCAAGCAGCTTTATTGCCTAACTCATAAGTAGTCTAAGAATCGCAGTGTCTTAATAAAATTAAGAGAAATTGTGTGGATCTTTCATGCTCTGATTCTAATATCAGTTTTTGACAGACTGATTTAATGTAGTTATAGAAGAATATTCATTATAGATAATTTATTACAAGTCTCTTCTGATGCAACCCCAACCAACGGCTCAAGATTTCCTCTCATTTTTGCAGGCTGCTACAAGCACTCTTTTGTTCATCTTCTATAACTGTTCTGAGCAAGTTATCATTATTAGGGAAAGAAGATACGCCAAGTCAAGGGAAGTTGCGGTGAGAAGTGTAAAGGATAAGGCTCAAGCACAGGCAAGGTGGATAGCTGCAGTGGAAGCAGTTAAGCAGAGAGCAATTGAGATGCAATCTCAACTTTCCCGCACGTTCTCTCGTAGAAATATCATCATACCTAACGAGCAGGTTAGAATACTGAACCAAACAGATTCTGAAAGAGATGACTATTTGCCTCTTTACCTGCAGCCTTACAATTCTAGTGCATCTCAGCAATTTGATACTGCATCTGAGGGAAGGGAAACAGAACCCCATCATCTGTATGAGAATGAAGAATGTTCTGATAGTTACAAAGATTCAAATCCAGACATCAAAAGTGCGGAAATCAAGAAAAATTCCAAGGAGAAACATATTCGTACAAATACACAAATTTTCCAGTTTGCATATGCTCAACTTGAAAAGGAGAAAGCTCAACAGCAGCAGAACAAGGACCTTACCTTCTCTGGAGCTATTTCAATGGCAATGAATAATGAGACCACGAGAAGACCTAGAGTTGAGATTGCATTCAAAGACCTTACTGTTACTCTAAAACAAAAGAAGAAACATCTTTTGAGGTATGTCAATGGAGAAATCAGGCCTGGTCGAATTACCGCTCTCATGGGTCCATCAGGGGCTGGAAAAACCACTCTACTTTCAGCTTTGGCTGGAAAAACTGTTGGATGCACTACAACTGGCTTAGTTCTTATAAATGGAAAGGTGGAATCAATCCACTCATACAAAAAGATTGTTGGGTTTGTGCCACAGGATGATGTTGTGCATGGAAATTTAACAGTGGAGGAGAATATATGGTTCAGTGCAAAGTGCAGGTAATAAAATTCTCTGTTATAGCTGTTATATATGAGCACCTCTAAGATAAACACACTATTAATGACTTAAATTTTTAACTCTCAACAAACATAAAATACAGTCATCATTTCTAGTAGGTTCTTCGTTCATAAATTCATGATATTAACAAACACACAACTGCGTATTGTGATACAAGAGAAGCATTGGAGGAAATTATATCTTCTTGACCAGCGATGCTGCCATCTCCATGGATGGATCCAAAGGAACACCGGCAACAATGCAACTGCTCTGCTTCGGTTAAATCTAGGTTAAGGAGTGCTTTGCAATAGAAGACCTCACAAATTCATGCACAAAATGAGGAAAACTATCCAAAAGGGAAACTAATTGACAGACGTGATAGAATTAGGAAATAGGAATTGAATATGTACACTAACTTTTCCAACGATACATAAGGTGGGAGTGGGAAATATAGCTACAAAAAGCAATTCAATTACCAACAAATTCTTTCATGCCAAATGCTTGCGATTGTCATTGTTAATCATGGTCACATAGAGTAAAAGCTACCTTGACATCTTCTATAAACATATCAGGGACTTTTTAGGCTTCCGACAATGACATGTACTGGGCTCGAAACTCTTGAACATAATTATCCTTTTTCATATGTTGCTCCTGGCATTACTCTTTCTTGCCAAATTCTATTCAGTTTTAAAGTGACTTTCTCTTTATGATTTCATTCTAACAAATGTTTGTGTTTTGAAATGTTTGAAGATTGTCAGCAGATTTGTCAAAGGTAGACAAAGTCCTTGTTGTTGAACGAGTCATTGAGTCTTTGGGCTTGCAGCCAGTACGGAGCTCTATGGTCGGAACAATTGAGAAGCGAGGAATTTCTGGAGGACAGAGAAAACGTGTAAATGTTGGTTTGGAACTGGTAATGGAACCTTCTCTATTATTCTTAGATGAACCCACATCGGGATTAGACAGCTCTTCTTCTCAGCTCCTTCTTAGAGCACTAAGACGTGAAGCACTGGAAGGGGTTAACATAGTTGCAGTTATCCACCAACCAAGGTAATATTTAATATTCTCCAGAAATCTATTCTATTTCTGTATTCTAGTTTGGTTTTCTCATATATCAATATGAGCTATCCACATTCTTCTTCCTTCACTTTTTTTGCCCACCTTTGACAAAAGAAAAGATAAAATGAGGGTGTTTCTTGTGGTGACCTTTCTCTACCAGCTGTGAGATTAACTTTTAGCCTTATAGATTCTGACTAGAAATCCTGGGACTCAGAGGTGAAAAGGAATTCCTGCCCATTGCTTTCCTCATGGGAGCCTCCTTATTGCAGCCTTAATTTTATTGTTTTAGGCATCATCAACCATTGACATCAAGAAAATGCTTTCTTTGATCATCTTTGTCACCATAATGAGGAGTCATCTTAAGATGTAGGTAATGGTACGAAGAATGCTCATTCAATGTAATACGGAAACGATCTACTTCATGAGAACTGCTGCAAACTTAGCTTAATTACAGTCAGAAAATGATGTTAATAACTGAATTTGGAAGTCAAAATACTATGCAATGTATTTGCTTCTTTGTGTATTTTACAACAATTAAGTTTCCTCGGGAATCATACATTTATGTATTGATATGATTATTCACTATTTTTTGAAAGCTTGATCTCTATCAAAAGATAGTAGGGTTGGACAAAACTCCCAAACTGGATTCGAACCGAATAGAATCGAACTGAGCGGTTCTTCTTAAGTTAAATACCCGAACGGGTATCTGAATTGAGAACCGACGGGTTTGATTCGGTTTTAGACCAAGAACCGAAGAATCGAATAAGCCGAATTATTATTATTATTATTATTTTTAATCTTAAATGAGCCGAATTATTTTCTTTTTTCTCTAAATAAATTTGCTAACTAATTAATTGAACTCAAACCCAATATATAATTTTCCAATATCTAATTTCTAGCCAAGCCCAACTGAATCAAATTGAAATAAGTTTTACCCAAATCTCTTATTCTACCGTAATACCTTTTTGCCTTTATGGAGAAATCAAATTGGAAGTTTGGTTGCGCCTCTCTTCATTATTATAAGCTCGATATATTTCTCTTTATGTGATTTAACAATCAAGTCGATGAAGAATCCAACAAAGAGAAGCGTAAAAGATATCAGGGGATTTGACTTTTTTTTTTTTTTTGTAAGGGCTAAGATTGAACATGGCATAGTTAAATTAATGTAGCGTTATTGGAAATATTTAAAAAAAATTAATTATTGTACGAAATTACGGAACTATGGGCCGCCTTGCTGCTCACCCCTATCTCTAAAGGGGCTTATGTACTAAACTCGTTACCTCTAAATGACGGACCCAGTAACTGATTGGAACCGAACCCCGAACGATTCCATAATTAAATTTGGACCCAACGGTTTCACTTACTAAATACTCTAAAATTGAGGTTCGGTTCAGCTTGATTCTCTTTAGAAACAAAGAGAACCGAAGCGGATCATATTCAGCCCTATTATATAGTCTAGAGAAAACATTAAAGAAATAGAAGAGCTTGCTCCATCCATGAGTAAATATGCAACAGTAGCTTCATATTCTGTCAATAACTGAGGGATCACTTTCCTTTTGCAGCTACACCTTGTTCAACATGTTTGATGATTTGATACTTCTAGCAAAAGGAGGTCTTACTGTTTACCATGGGCCAGTCAGGGAAGTTGAAGAATACTTTGCACATCACGGCGTCAATGTCCCAGAGCGTGTTAATCCTCCAGACTATTTTATAGATGTTCTGGAGGGGATGAATAAACCAAGCACAACCTCGAATGTGAGTTATGAAGAACTCCCTCTTAGATGGATGCTTCATAAAGGTTATCCTTTACCTCCAGATATGCAGAAGATGTTTTCTGGGCTACTTATGCCTGAGGAGAATGACAGTTCAACAAACCAAGGAAGCCCTGTTTGTTTTGGGACTGAGGAACTACCCTTTTGGGGAGAATTATGGCAAAATGTAAATTACAAAGTGGAAGCACGGTGTGGTGTTATACGGAACAATTTCATGAGGTCGAAGGACTTATCCCAGAGGAGAACCCCTAGCATTTTCCAACAGTATTTATATTTCCTTGGAAGGTAACTCCCTTGGTCAAAATTTCCCCTCTTACATTCTTGAAGAAGCTTATTCCATCGTACATCCTCATCTCATTTCAAAAACAGCATATGATGGTACCATAGTTTCCCGAACAGAATTTTCGGTGTTGACCACTTCCATTGCTCCCCATTTTGAATTACAATACATGAGTGAGCTAAATGTAGATCAATTTCAATTCAGATCTATAACTTTGACCACAAAGACAACTTATCCACTGCCTTGAGAACTGTAATTGTGGTTCACTTTTTTAATTTGATTTTATCAAAGGCTATCTTCTGAAAGAATGTCTTTTGAGACTTCAATTAAATAATTTTAGTGAGTAGTGATTTTCAAATTGTTTGAGAATATGTGGATATGCACACACACGGAGGACACTTTCTCATAATAAGGTTATTAACTAGGGTAAATGAGAAAATTATACACCATTTAGTACTACACAATTGTCTACCTAGTTTCGCACCCTAGCTTCCTCATGCAATAATTTAGGACCAAACTGTTACTTGAAGAAGGTGGGAAATAATGTTAAAGTTACCTTTTTGGTCTTAGAACCTTTTTTTTTTTTTTTCCTGTGACTGATAAATTGTATTGCTGATATTCTATGTCATCATACTCATCTCAGGATTACTAAGCAGCGACTACGGGAAGCTAGAATCCAAGCAATAGACTATCTTATTTTGTTACTTGCTGGTGCCTGTTTGGGATCAATTGCTAAAGCAAGTGATGAAAGCTTTGGTGCACCTGGTTATATTTACACGATCATAGCTACTTGTAAGTAGAACAAACTTTAATTGCTGAATGTACATCCCAATTTTCTTCACTAATAATCTGGGTCTTGTCTTGATTTGTCATTAATACACATGATTAGGATTGTCCAGCTAATTCTCTTCTCTTCTATTGAGTTTATAAGTTCAATAGGTTCTCAATTATAATTTCAAACTTGATAGTTGATACATATAGAGTTGAATGCAAGTGATGCTCTATAAGTTCATATAAACTCTTTGTTGTGTTTTCACTGACATCTTATTTATTACAGCTTTGCTATGCAAAATTGCGGCTCTGAGGACATTTTCTCTGGATAAGTTGCAATACCGCAGAGAACGTGCTTCTGGCATTAGTAGCCTCGCTCACTTTGTTGCGAAAGATACAGTAGACCACTTCAATACACTGATTAAGCCACTGGTCTACCTCTCGATGTTCTTTTTCTTCAGCAATCCAAGATCTTCCTTCTTAGATAATTACATTGTCTTGCTCTGCCTTATTTATTGTGTGACTGGTATAGCTTATGCGTTGGCCATTTTTCTTGATCCCGGTCCCTCGCAGCTGGTAATTAGCACCCCCCTCAAGAAGGCTTTTACTTTATCCATTTCATGCATGTTTGGTACCAAGTGTTAGAGAGGCCTGGACAATATGACAAACGAGATTTTAGCTTCTTTTTAATCGTAAATATATACTATCCATTCCTCCCTACCAAACATGCATTTTACAAATTAGATATCAGCTGTTCTGACTTTCATTCTTCCACATTATGCAGTGCTCCGTTCTTCTACCTGTGGTTTTGACTCTCCTTTCAACTCAGCCTAAAGGTAGTAAATTTATGAAGATTGTGACAGAATTGCTTTATCCAAGCTGGGCCTTAGAAGCATTCATTGTCTCAAATGCAGAAAAGTAAGTTTGACTTCCCTTCTCCTTTCCCTTCCATAAACTTGTGTTACAAATTATTCTGTAAATTTACTTAGAGAGCATTTGATACCCTCATATTAGGCCATTAGTATTTGGGAAAAGACCATTAATGGCTTTAAGATTTGGATGATGCATATACCAATTAGCACAAACGTGCACTCTTTTGCAGACCAAAAAATGCAAGTTGGTGCGTACAACTTGAGTAGTTTGTCTGAATTTTCCAGGAACTCAATTTGAGGATGAGAGTTTTTTGAGATTGATCAATCGGAATATAACTTTTATGCTCATTTAAAGCCACTGATCTTTGTTTTAAAGTCAAGTGTGAGAAAATATGCAATTATTATCCTATTGTGAGTGTAAACTTGAAACAGCAGTTGAACCCTCTTCAGTCTCTTGATTGGATATTAACAGATTTACATTTTATTTTATTTTTTTACAAAACCTAGTAACTACAATCCCAAATTCCAAACAATGTCTATTTCTCTTAGGAGAAGGATTGCCATTCGTACTTAATTATTTGTAAAAATATCTAAATATTTCTTATGATCCAAACACCTCGTTGGAGATTCATTCTCAGCTCTCTCTTACTACTTGGTCTTCTTTGTGTTTCAAATTTAGATCATTTTAAGGAAAAGTTTCATGAGATTAAGCATTTGAATAGTGAACACTCAGCGTCGAAGAACTAAGCACTAATCAAAATAAATACTAAATTTTATATGGTAATTATTTCTTAACAATGAAAATTCAAGCATTGGATGCAAATTAAAAACTGATCCCTATAGATTTCCTAAAAGACAAAGCTGATCATTTGTACTGAAGATTCGTACATCACTAGATCTTTCCTTTCTATCTTTCACGATTGATTTTATTATATTCCTGTCCGTTTGAATCATTATATAACTTGGGTATCATAAGCTCTAGTGTGAAGAACTATTTCATGTGTGTAATATGAAATTATCACTAGGAAACTTTTCGTTTCTTACAATTATACTTCTTCTCTCTTTAACTAGGAAACTTTTTGTTTCTTACATTGTAGTATATTATTAAAAGATTTCTTGTTTTGAGTCCTCGGGAAAGAAATGTGAAACATTGCAGTTTAATATATGAAAGTGGGCATGCATGGCATATCACAGATTACTTTTCACTTCCAGATATTACGGTGTATGGCTCATACAGCGTTGTGGCGCGCTTCTTAGAACCGGCTATGATCTCCATCACTGGGCTCTTCGTATATCCCTTCTGATGCTTGCAGGCGCAGCTTGTCGAGCTTTAGCTTTCTTTGGTATGTTAACTTTACAGAAGAAGTGAGTTCAATCTTCATTCTACTGGCACTCTGTTTCACTGCGCAAAAGAATAAGCTTCTGACATTGCTTGACATGGAATGCTGATCGGATTCTCAGCCAACAAGCAGTAATGAATTGTGTAGTTAATGACACTAAAACAAATTGTTTTGTTCCCGGGATATATTAGAGCCATCGTACAACTCAATGTACTTTTTGTAAATCTATAGCATATGTATTCGGGTTTTGCTAGAGCGACAGGGCCACGTGGGCCCTGGCCGTTTGGCAAAATCTTATGCATTGAATTCTTTTGTACAAAAACTAAGCATCTCCTTCTCTTTTTTTTTTTTTCTTTTTGTGAATAAGAATACAATACTCAATAGTTTATACGAATATTAGATCAGTTACTTCAATTTCCATTTTCTCTAAGTTTGTGGTGCAGGTGTGATTACTGAGGTGAATCATCGAAAGGTGAAATGATAAGAAGGAAAAAAATTTCCTCAGTATCGGAAAGTTACTCAAATTAAACGTCTAACCTAGGTAAAGAATAGACAATGCTTATTTACCTGTTGCTACACACTTTTGTTAGACAAATAAAAACAACAGAAGTTCAATAAAAATATTATATTATCGTTCCCAGGATGAGACTGAATGCATCTCTTCCAGCACAACAAGACTCAAATATAAACCAATAGTGTGAATTGCTACATTTTCTGCATTTTCAAGATTCAAACTTCTTAAAATTCAAGATTCTTCTTCCCCGCAAGATCCTCAAGAGTTAGATTTAAAGTATCAACTGATCCTTTCTTTACTTCCTCCCCACGAGCAGCCAAAAACTCCTCAACGCTACCAGGTTTTCCAAACCACCCCAATCGATCAGCAATCAGGTGCAGATTATTACATCCATCGCATCTAGCCACCACTACGCCTTTATCATATGATTCACGACAAATTGTCTTCACAGATCTGGTATCGCAAACTTTGCACGTAAAAATCATGGCAAGATCGTGTCTTTCAGATACCTTCAAGTTAGATTTCACACTGTGTTTAGCAGTGATCTCGTCATCGATTGAACTCGAGACAGGATTCATTTCATCTGCATCATCCTTTGAGCAGCAATTTTCAAGTTCCTCTGGAGATTCAACAGTTGGCCTACTGACTTCTACATGCGTCTGAAATCTTCTAGTAAGATTTTCGTATCTGCCGAAGAATGAATTTGCAGAGAAACGAAAATCCCTGTGGAGTTCTGCAGCAAATTGCAGAAAAAAAAGAAGGAAAAAAGAAATGGATTAATTACAGATATAGTTTTTGTATTTGGAAAAGAAGTCGAAAGCTACAACTGGTAATTAGCATCCCGTCCCATCCCATCTATACTACTTTATTTTTTCCCTAGTAGTTTCTCCACCGGCAGTAATATAGTCATACTAAAGTTCCACATGCTCAAAAGCAACTCCGCTTTCTTGATCCTGCGATTGCTTTCATTCCCTGACAGGTTAGTAACTCTCAAAACATACATACATCAAGAACCAGAAGACAACAAATATACTGCGCGAAGGGAAATGAGGTTTCAAAATAATTAAGCTCCATTAATTATTCACCTCCACAATTAACATTTAACAAATTCTTGTTATTTGCTTTCCATTGCTGGAATAATAAGCAAATATTTTTCACTTTGTAATGTATCATGTATGATTTTCAAAGAAAAAGTTTGTGTATGATATTTATTACTCAATACAACAAGCATTATCTCATACTTAATTGGGTTCAGCTGCGTGAATACTTCAAATCTTCCATAAGTCATGTCCAAAGTTAAACCACAAAGGCTCAGTTCTTTCTAACTCCATAGTCACATGTGATTTTATGCTGCCTCCTCTGGGTTTACCATTAATATTAGTTTCATCAATTCTCCGAATCCATCAAACGGCATTACAGGATACACCTGAACCATGTCAAAATATTCTCCAGAAGTTTGTCCACGTTTGTTACTACCTTAGCCAACTCACAAATATGCTCATTTTTTACTCGTATTCTTCTTCTTCTTCTTCTACCAAGCACCTGCCTTAACATTCTCATCTCAACCATCCTCAATATAAAATCTTATGGAAGCCTCACAGGATCTTATACTCTTGAAAAGGTAAAACACAGAATAGTTCTCCCTCTCTCCAATGAAAAAAAAGCATTGAGTCCCTTATTCTCTCTTGCTGTTTTCCACGCCAAAAAGAAAAAAAAGGCCAAATTACCAACTCCATACCCTTCAAGAAAAAAAATCAACTTCACTCAAGTAGTGGAAAAGAATATTGCGTCCTTCTAAACATAATCAGATATACGTTATATGCACAGTGCATCTATCTTGAAATTTTGAAACTGGGAATCTACACAACAATACGATTCGTAAATTGTCACTCTAAGTGCGAAAATCAACATGAATGCTTACTTTGTTTTCTAATTTCATGCAAAACAAAGCAAATAATAACACATACAATATTCCTTTCATACTCTGGAGAAGACTGCAAAGCAATACTCGGAAAAAGTATGAGCAAATGAACTTTCCATTCAACGAGCTACCTTCTCTCAAGATGATTTTATACCCCCTCCATCTGCAACTACAATTTATTTTAATTTAATTAAATCCATATGAACATTAAATTACGCTCGAATCTGAGTAGGGTTTCTATTAATTCAAATCACAAGATCAGAATTCCATGGCAAAAGAAAACAAGAAACAAAAATCGTCGTGTCAACAATAATCAAAGCTTCCGACTTTTCACCATTAATATCCTCTCCTAATTCTATTAAAACATGGCTCAATGTTCACTCCATAATCCTATAATCCAGTAATATCTTTTTTCTGGTTTATTTAACAGGGCTTCTTGATTAAATGTAAATAATACAAACACCAAGAAAATATAGCATATCCAAGAGCGAAACATAGAGGAAGAAAAAGAAAGATGAGTTACCTGTAGAGAGGGGATTTTGGGGGAGTTTAGCAGCAAGGAGAGAGAGAATACGTCGTTGAGCTAGACGAACCGCCATATCTAGACGCACTTCTTCTTGCAGAAAAAAAAA